GTCGATATCATTTCGATATATCTATCGATATTCTTTTCATTATCGCTATCGTCATTTTTATCGATAGTTATCGCTGCCTTTTATTTTACTTTTAAACACTTTCCCTACCCGTTTTAAAGTTATTGAAGCTTAAAAGTAGATATCAATATTTTTTTCTAAAAGGCAAAACTATAATCGCATTAATTAACTCATTCTCTTAATGTTTTTTTTTTTTTTTATGTGCACACATGACAACAATAACGAAAGAATAAGTAGAATTTTATTAATCTCTGTTTATGTGCACGCTAAAATCACAGCTTAACTTGTAAGCTTGTATATGTGTATATGTATCGAGCCCTAACCGTCAAAATAACGTAAGCCACATTTTTTTCAAAATTTTCTTTTTGATGCAGAAGGGCTTCTAGATGCATTAGAAATATTTCTGCATCAAAAAGAAAATTTTGAATAAAATGTCGCTTACTTTATTTTGGCGGTTAGGGCTCGATATGTATACACCCTCGTGGTCAGCTGATTAAGTTAAGTGATATTTCAACCAGTTTCGACTATTTTTCTTTTCTTTATTGATGTATATATTTTCTTAAAAAAAAAGTCTAGCATATTACATAATCAGCACCATATAAATCCACATTCAGAATATTTAGAACAATTTTAAGTATGGTAAAAGATACTTTGCACAATACGGTCAGCAAAAAAAAAAAAATAGCTAAAACTTTTCAAAATGTCACTTAGATTAATCAGCTGGCCGCAAGTGTACATACATTCATGAATACAAACCGAAGTAAAACTTTGCAAACAAGCAATTTTATTATTTCTGCACTACTCAAATAATTTTGCGGCAACTTGCAGCTCAGTTAAAGCGTAGCTTTTGCCAGCAACGGTTGTGTCTTATTCTCAGATTCAAATTCTAAAACATACAAAGTGATCTCATCGAATTAATTTGCATTTCAAATGCATTCGCTCATGCCATTTCTAAGCGCACTACTGCTGCTGACAGCAGGTGGCGCGCATGCGCAAATTAAAACATCCGGCATTAAAACGCACTACCCAGCCGCACCAAGTTCGGGTAATTTAATTTACAATGAAAACAATTACACTGCACAATACAATCGCACCTTTGTGCCAGCGGACATCTATCAGGGCGGCAATGTGGGTGTGGTTAGTGTAAACACCATCGATCGAAATGAATCCGCGCATATGGCAGGCGGAAGCCACTTGGCTGCCGGTGAGGAGTATCACTACTATGGCGCTGGCGGCAGCAGCAGCGATTTCAGCAGTGGTGGCAGTTATAGCAGTGGTGGGAGTTACAGCAGTGATGGAAGTTTTAATAGTGGTGGCAGTTACAGCAGTGATGGAAGTTTTAATAGTGGTGGCAGTTACAGTAGTGGTGACAGTTTTAGCAGCGGCGGAATTGCCCGTCAGCGTGTACCCTTGCGTGTACCACAATTTTTGGATGCCACTGCTGAGTTCATCAACAAGACGCGTTCACAAATGGCCTCTGGCATCTGCTACGCCGAAGTGCCGTAAGTGTTTGACAAATGTTTTGAAAGTTACTTTTGCTTAAAAGAAAATGGATAATATGTAGCTTTAATAAGTCTATTGGCGAGGTTTGGGTTGCTAGTTTGAAATCTGTTTTAAATTTTCCTCCAATAGATCTATAATTTAGCGCGTAGTATTGGGTGTGCCATGGTGTTCCTAAAGTACAGTTTTGAGGTCCAAGAAACTAATGGAAAGCCGTATATATTGTGAATTTTATTAATTTTGGGAGAAGTATACAACGACTCTGCCATCAGCCTAAAGTCCTCTCATTGCAAAAGGAGGTAGATGAATTACCTGTGTTAAAATTTCTAAAAATTAACTAGTACCAGTTAGTTAGTGCAATAGTGAGTTACTGTTTTTTTTGGTAAAATCTGTCGCTGTTTGTGAAGAGTACTGCTTAAACAGTAGTCTCAAGCCCAATAAATTGTGCAAAACAAAAATTAAATAAATATTAAATTTTGCCACGATTTAACTATATACATACAAACATATAACTCAGAGTGAAATTTATCGACTGCTTCGCAATACATCTTTTTTTAAGTCGCCATCTGAATTTTTAGGGCAACAACGATCATTTTGTTCCAAATTAATTTAATAAGGAAAACCCACATCTCTTTCTTATTCTATTCTATTCCCATCTAATAAATATGTGTGTATTTGCAATCAATATAAGCTCAGATGTTATTTTGATGAGTTCTTAAGTAATATTGAACTTTTGGCCCGACATCCTCATTGTATTGATAACTCAACCGAAAAAGTGTTGATAGTATTGTTGATATTTTTGTTGTTTTCTTTTCTCTTTAGCTTTCCTTCTACATTCAGTGATCAAGGGTAATTATTTACCAAAAAAAATTAAGACAGTTGTTTGTGCAAGCGATTCAAATTAGGTGTACGAAATACGCACTTGTATTACTTGTAGTGGTTTTTCAAACATTTTTATATTTTGTTTTTATTCATCTCAATGAAACTGATTATTCAATTCGGTATTTACAAATAAGATGAATGTTCTAAGCATCGCTTGTTAGAGAGAAATATAAAATTCTGTTATGCAAACAAGTCACGACGTCATTAATACAAGTTTTTTCAATTTATCATTTTCCAGTTAACCCTCAGTTTGCAACATATGTAGGTATTTTTACTCCCGTTCAAAAATCTACTTATGGCAAATTCATAATTTAAAAAAAGTTATTTAGATTAATTTACTGTGGCACCACTTGAAAGTGGAATGGAAGTACCCCCTCTGGCAAGCTGTTCTGCTTTCCCTTCGCTGCTGTTTAATTAATATTTGATAATTTTTTTTACTAAACTTGCTTTCTTTTTTTTAATTTAATTTTTGTTGTAAGCCCATAAGCCTTATAACAATTATATTCGACAATTTTTATTGAGCTTGAGACCGTTTTTTAATGAAAAACTATTGTTGGAAAAAATGGAAGAAATGATAGCTATATCGGATTTATATATAAATATGTATTTTTTGATTTCGTTTAATTTTTACAAACTTTTTTATGTATATTTTCTTTTTTTCTTTATTTTTCCATTAATTTTTAGATGTTCTTTTAAAAAGAAGTTTTTTTTTATTTCATTTAGTTTTAAGAAATTAATTTTATTTTTTTGCTTTTTCAAATACATTTTTTTAGTTTCATGTTCTTGTAATTTTTAGACTTTATTGTTAAAATAAGAAAAACATTTTTAAAATATTTATTTACTGTTGGAAAATTTTTTTATTTATTTTTCTTTCTTTTAATTTTTGGATTTTAGTTTTTTATAAAGACAATATATTTTTATATTTCATCTAATTTTTAGGATCTTATTTTATTTTTTTAATTTTATTTTATTTTAATTTTTAGATTGCCTTTTAAGAATAAAAAAAAATATTTTCATAACTTTTAAGTATTATTTTCTTTTTTGATATTTTTTTTCAACTTAATTTTTTATTTTGCTTTAGAGAGAAAACAATTTTTTTTTTAATTGCATTTAATTTTTTAAACTATTTTTATTTACTTTATCTTTATTTTAAAATGTTTTTCTTTATTTATTTATTTTTTATTTATTAGTTTTTATTGTTTTAAAAAGAAAAATGTATATACATATATATAATTTTTAATTTCATTTAATTTTTAAGAACTTGTTGCTAAAAGGCCAATAGCATAACGCTAAGACCTCCTCGTTAGCAGATCTTTCAAATAATCTTTCGAAAGATATTAAAGAGCTTTCAAGATAGTTGCCTGAATTGAATTCTGTCTTTTGAATGACTATGGTGTCACCATAATGGTGAGTTGAAAGACAGTTGCCCCTGCGCCAGCTAGGGAATAGGTGAATTTACTCAACACGATTTGCTCTGTTATTCTTTAAATAATAAATAATTCACTCAAACCGTTTAAAAGTGACAGAAGAAAGTTATTCTAAATTAAATAATGTTTGATTACAATTAACATAAGGTTGACAAATCCAAACAGTTACAGAAATGTTACACTTAATCTCCCAATTTACCAGACCAGAGACCGTGTGATTCCTCTTAATTGATTAGGAATTGAAAAAATTTTAAACCCTACAATATTGAAATAAATATTAATAATCTTTCCCTCCATCTCTGCTTTCAGCACCGCATCGCTTGTTCGTGACAAGTCAGTGATACCAGCTGGTAATGGCACCAGCACCGACAAAAGTAAGGTGCAGATTTGCTGCGAAGGCTACGTACGCAATCCACACGTCTACACGCGCTGCGATCCCATCTGCCTCGACGACTGCCCGAATGGCATTTGCACTGCGCCCAACACTTGCGTCTGCATTCCTGGTCATGTACGCAATCACGAGGACAAATGCATTTCTACCTGCCCCATCGGCTGCGGCAATGGCGTATGCGACGCACAAAATCAATGCCAATGCAAAACTGGCTACACACTAGAACCAAACACTCGGCAATATTGTGTGCCCCACTGCGATACACCTTGCGAATATGGCAAATGTGTGGCGCCCAATAAGTGTGATTGCTACGATGGCTATCGGCTGACAGCTGGTGGTGTGTGTGAACCCAAATGTGACAACTGTGAGAATGGTCGCTGTACGGCACCCGGCTTGTGTACCTGCAATAAAGGTTACCTGAAGGTGAATGGCATTTGTGAACCCGTATGTACACTGTGAGTATTTCCAAGCGAGTTGGAAGCTCAAAGCTTCTTTCCACATTTACTACATATATATTTTTCTCTATGTGCTACAGTGGCTGCGATAAGGGCCGTTGCGTGGCTCCTGACGTCTGTGAATGCTCCAAGGGGTTCGAGCTGGACCGCACCGGCACCAAATGTGTGCCACACTGTGATCAACCCTGCCTGAATGGCGTTTGCGATGGTGCAAATAGCTGCACTTGCAACCCTGGTTACATACTGGATCCAATACAGAAGAGTGTTTGCCAGCCGCATTGTCCACAAGGTTGTCCCAATGGCTATTGTACTTCGCCAAACTTTTGCGTCTGTAAGCCCGGTTTCCGCAAGTCTGGCATCAAGGGACGTCAAACATGTGCCGCTGTTTAAATTGTTTGCATGGATTGTTTTAAAAGTTTTATATACGAAATGTTTACCTTAAAAAGTCGTTTGATTTGTATGTTATTAAACTATTAATTATAATATTTTTTTTATTTTCCCTGTTGCATAAATTGAAATTTACTGCCTATAAGTATTTCAAATTCACGTCTCAACTGTCGACTGAAATGTTCTCTTTGCTCGTAGCCAGTCATCATCTCATTTAGTTGCGCTGCTTCGACACATCTATCGATGAAATGCGACATTCGAATTGGACAAATACAACGTCCGCTGCGATCACAGAGTCCTGATATACAGAGCTGCTTAGTTAGCTTGCAACCGCATGCGCCCGGTTCCATGCAACTGCCATGGTAGCCGCAATCCCTACAAAAAACTTATATTACAAATTGTTATAGAGTTGGATCAGAAAATTGCGAGGAAGGTCGTAAGTGTGGAAGGTTTAAAAAACGAAGATCAAATCGAGTTCGTAGGCGGCATTTGTAAGCAATACAGAAACATTGCTTTTTATTATTGATTTGCCTCTTTAACCAAAAAATATTTATTTAACTCTTCAAAATAAAAGCCCCGGATCAGTAATATCAATACAACCTAGTCTTGGTTAACATACAATTAGCTTATACCAAGGGTTGACTCGGTCATAAATTTTCTGGTAAGTAATCTCCAAAATGTTAAGTCACTTAATGGCTATCTTGGGCCGTTTTAACTGTGAGCTTTAAATCTAAGCCGTATGGCTTGTATAAACATGTAAACGGTATGAAATCAATCTTGAACGCTTGCTAGTATTGTGTGGAGAATTTGACCAATATTAGCGATGGAAACTTCTTTAAAGATTTATAGTGAATATATGACGAACCACTAAAAAATTATGAGCATAATTTCTGATTCGTAGAAGTGCTCTACTTTCGGCTCAATAATGTGAGGGTACGTTCACACAGAAAGCGGAGCCGTTCCAAGATGAGTAAAGCTTTCAACTTGTAGCTATATGAAAGTGTTCATACAGGAAGATTTTTCAGAAGCGTTTTGGAGATGAAAGCAAATAGAATTTTCCAATTATTTTTTTTAGCTTCATGATGCTGCTGCAAACGAGACATCAAAATATTCAAATAAAAACGAATTTTACAACTAACTTTTTGGATAATATTAAGGAACTATTTTTGCCGGTTTTCGATGACGGTAAGTTTTGTGCTATTTTTGCCGCCGATTCCATGAGAAAAGCTCTGCTTCGCTTCGTTCAGTATGAACACCAGCAGTTTCGCTTTGTTGCAAACCTTAGGGTGCGTTTTTGGTTAAAAGTTCTTTTTAAGACTCTTAACAGAAAAGCGGGGTAAAAGTAGTTCCATACGTATACGCTAATGACTTACGCCTAATCGTCTTAACTTCCTTTTTTTCGAGGACCGCGAGGATATTTGCGAAGATGATCGGCGGATGCGGCGCTCATGAAGCCGTTAAAAGAGTTGATAGATCGCTTGAATTTATGCAGTATACTCTGTCAGCCTTCTCGGTATAGAAGCGTATATTCGGGTAGAAGCCATTTAAAAGTCTCTGAAATAAACTGATCTAGTAAACTTCTCACCAATGAGGAATGTTAGTAGGGACAGTCCTCAAGGTGGAGTGATCTCTCTCATTTAAGGGCTGACCACCATCAACTTAGTACTGCTTAAACACGACTAGAGATATAGATAGGGAATGTGGTATTAGAGTGCACCCAGAGAAAAAAAAATATCATTTGGGGCTGGAAATAACGTCTCTAGGAAAGCTGAATGGCTAAAGCCTACGATTACATACGCAGCCGAAGTTTCTGGCAGTTATACGGGGTCCTAAGCTGAGTTAAAACATAAATATTGGAGAAGATGATTCATTTAAGTATTTATTTATAGAAAGGTTTTACTCTGGATCTATACAGCGGTTGTACGTCTGATCTTATGCAATGGTTCCCTGGAATGGTGGACAGACCTAAGGAACCAGTGTAATAAAATAAAACTAGGCAGTCTTCAGAGAGCCGCATGCATGGGAACTACAGGGGCACTTATAACTTCCCTAAACCTATTTCCTTTATAACTTCACATAATGTATACCGCAACATCTGCTATAAGACTCGGTGTATGAAAAGAAATAATGAGCAGTATAATTTCTCGATTGCCACGCAAGATAAGAAGGTCTGTCGATTACGTACGACCTAAAATAGAATTTCAGAGACCTTTCGGGGTTATTCTTCTGTCGAGAGACGACTGGGACGGGGTAACTTGATATCTCTGCATGGATACTTCATCTGTACACCGTTGACTCCAAAATGGAACGCAAAGTTGGAGTAGCAGTCTTCGCCGAATTCTTGCAATTAAGACAATCAATCCATCTGCCCGATTTTGCATGTGTATTCACTATAGCTGAAGGCTGCCATCTTTTAGAATGTAGTGGTTTACATCACGGCAAGCGTGTAGCCATTCTCCCGGATATCTAGACGGTCATTTAATGAGCTATTTCCATGAGCTATACAGGTATTGATTCGTTAAGCCTCCTAATGTCGACCTTTAAGTACTAATGATGGGTCAATCAATGAGTTTTGAGCATTCCTAAGACTGAACCCATTTCGGGAAATGAGGATTAGAGATTTATTTCCGGTATGCAAAAATATTTGACAAAAGTGTTTAGCGCGGGCCAAGTCATGTACCTGGTGAAAAACGTATGGCAACTTTTACTATTTCAGAGAAATTAAGTGCTTCAAGACTTTCGAAAGAACGCAAGAAATTACCATACGCGTAAACCTTAGAATATTCGAGTTTGGGATAGAACACATTTCTCAGATCACCTATATCCGACACAATGTCTAAAGTGTATTGCTGAAACTCTAGTTACTCTATGAACTGTATTAACTACATTAATTTCACCAACCTGTCACATATTGGCTCACAATTAGCTTCACTATATTCATATCCTTCAAAGCACTTGCATATTCCAGGTCCCACGCAAATACCATCACGACAATTCTCGCCGCAATCAGGCAGGCAGCTGGTGGTATCCATGTCGTATTTGTAGCCATTACGGCACTGACAATTATTACGCGATTCACAGAAACCATTTTCGCAGCTTCTAAACACACATGAAATACTAACTAACTCCTGTCACTAAATACAAAATCGGCAATCACTTACATATAGCACTCAGCTTCGCAAACGTTCCGCAATGGACGCTTAATATATCCCTTGAAGCATTCACACTTATTCGGACCCACGCACTTGCCATGCCCACAATCGGGTATACAAACTGGCTGGCAACCCAGATCTGTTGTCATTTTATAACCCGCCGTACAAGCGCACTTTCCCGGCGCCACGCACTGTTGATGCGTGCCACAACCCTGCGAACACTGGGCGCGACAAAATTTTCGCGTCTCCAAATCCAATGTGTAGCCCGGATCGCATTGACATGTGCCATTTAAGTAGCATCGTCCATGCTCACAGGCAATTGGGCAGGTGTGTACGCACTCGCCACGGTCGTTGCGCACAAACTCGGCAAAGCATACGCACTGATTGGGCGCATGGCAATGGCCATTGCGACAATTGTTTGGTGAGACTCCGGAGCAGTCTGGGATGCACTGATCGCGATCGAAGCGTGATCGCATATAACCTTCGCAGCAGACTTCGATGCGTTGCCAGTGAATTGTTGAGCCATTGCCGCGTATGGGGGCAGCAGGTGAGGTTTGAAAGTAGCGGGCGCTGTGTGGTGGAGGAGATTAGTCCAGAGTTTTTGTGTTTGAGGTACCTTTAACAACTTACGGCACTTCCCGCTGACACTTATTACCGCGACCATTCGGATCGTTATAACGCAAGGAAAAACTTCCAATCTCATAGTAAATGTCGCCAAACAGCTGTTCGGCATTTTGATCTTGTGCAGCAATGTAAGTAATTGCTGTTAGAGTTAAAGATGCGAAGGTACACGCTGGTAGCAGTGGCATGCTGATATGAATTCTTTTCAACTTTAATTAAGTTGTTGATAATTAAAGTTGCACAACTAGCTCAAAATCATAATTTTTCGTACTTAGCTTTGTCTACCTTTTAGTTATTTAAATGTTGTTTCTGTTGATACGAACTGATCTTAGTGTCAAATTCAATTGAATCACAAAATGTCCCAATGTTGTCAGTCAGCTCAAATGAAAATAATCTTATCAGTACTGAATTACTAAATATTGTGATGGAAGTGAAGATCGACCAAATTACATTAAATACCGAGTAGCGACACTTTCTGCAAAATTTAGTTTAAAACATTTGATTTGAAGTTTCTCAGTCTCGGCAGCCAGCTCGAAAACGCCTTTTTTCAGACAACTTTTCAAGAACGCCCTATTTTAGATTTTGATTGAAGACCGCCCTCCCTATAGGTCTTTTTTTGCACCGAATTCTGAGATACGGTGTTTTTCAATAAAATTCTTAAATAGAGCGTTCTTGAAAAGTTTTCTGAAACAGGGCGTTTGCGAACTGGCTGCCGAGGTAGGTCGATCTTCCACTCAGAGGTCGAAATGCAGTGTCTTATGTTCCTCATTTTGATTTTTTATTATTGCATATAGCTACCAGTATATGGCTTAAAATTGGCATATTTCTTAGTTGTTTCCAAACAATTTATTCTTTGTTCTTTGAGTAAATCCCAACAGTAAATTTGCAACTATAAAGTTATGGCCTGGAAATAGTTAAGGCTTGATGATCTTGCCTATCGTCACTCTGGTCAAGGTCATGCGGCCTGTGCTCTAAGCTTTAAAATGTTTTCTGTGACAAATAAATAATTTTTAAATTTGATATGCAATTGTGCATACTACATACAATCTGACCTCATAATACAAATGCAATTCCTATCAACAAAAAAAAACCTTCAAACATTCAACCGCTGTGCGATAAAAATTTGCATATATGTATATCTACAGAGTGCTACTTTGTTTGACTGCAGTCAGATTTATTCATGGAATTAGTTAATAATATAAGACGAAACTTATTAGAGTCTACTGATAAGGGGCTTGTACAATTTTTTTATACATATTTCAATGTTAAATCAAAAACCCAGTTTTATATAAATAATGTCAAAACAAAACACAAAAGTCAGGCAAAATGCATAAACTATTCTATACCTAGTACAAGGGGGTGCAATTATTCGACGTTTTCCAAAACCGGACTTGGAGTTGTTCGAAAAAAAGTAGTTGGAATAAACTGGCTCTTAACTTTTAAATTCAGATATGGTGTATGCGGGTTAGCGGTTTACGCCGACAGGCTTTGCGGCGGCGGCGTAGTCAACTTCAAAAAGAGTCGGCGGCAGCGGTGACGCCGGCGCGTCGGAAAACGCCGGCGCTACTGCGCATAAGGTAGATTCTACTAATCTTATCATGTCATCTCGTCAGCGTTAGGCATTCGCCATGCCAATTAAGGTTATAATTCTATTGAATTCATTCATTGAATTAGTTTTAAATTTAAATTACGTTACTCCCTACTTGAATAAAAATGTGTGTCTGGCGCTGATGGATGGGCGAACAGAAGAAGGTCTGAGGTACTTACATACATACACACATGGCTCTCTATGTTCTCTTCAGATCCGTATGTTCTATTTAAATTTAAAGAAATAAAAAAATTTAAAAAGTTAAGTTATTGGGGTAATTTATGTCGCCATCAATAAATTTTTGTAATAATCTTATCAACTGTTCTGTTAAATTACGGACTTCTTACGATTTTTTGCGGATTACATATTGAAAACAAGGTTCGTCGACCTGTTTCTAAAAGTTTAGGCCATCAACTCGATCCAGAATGGGCCTTTTTGACCCACTGTTTAAAAACATGCCTTATAAATGGTTAAAAATTCCACTAAAATATTAAGCCTCAAAATTTTCTAAGGAGAACCGAATGCAATGAAAAAGAATACTAAATATTACCAAAAAGGGGGAACTTAGCCCTGTATAGAAAACATTGCGATGCGAGGGAGCAAAACCTACCTGGGGTTTGACCACCACTAAGAAATGCTAATGTAATTTTCACACAGCCACCTAGTACTTGTATACGTATGTGGGACCCCAGAATAAAATAACTTACGAATGTAAAAATTAGCAAAAAAAAGTATTTGCTTTTTATTGAAAGTCTGTTCAAAATATTTAAAAAAAAAATACACAAGAAAATCAATTTGTCTTTGTTTTATCTCCAATAATTGAGGAGATATTCGCGGTAAAGTTTTTGATGTGTTATAACCTGTTGTTGTAGTATATGTATAAAAAAAGTGGTATTGTTGTAGTATTGAAAAGAATTATCTACTGCAGAAAAAAATAGTTAGGTTACCAGTATTCGACCATAATTTAACTGTAATAAGCGCTTTCGATCGAAAAATATGCTACCTATGTTTTTTCTGAATTATGCTCTTTGTGGAAAAATAAAGGAGATCATATTATTTTCCAGTGGCCCAAATTATGCAAAAACAACTCCTTTAAAAATGTAGTTTTCATTTCGTAAATTTGTGTTTTTATACTAGTAGTATTTAGTTCCTTCAGACGATGTATTTCAATGTACATACATCATGAAAATTTTGTACGAAATTCCTTAGGCGCCGAACGCCGCCGCCGCCGCGCCGATATTTTCGTAACTCGGCGGCGGCGCGTAAGAAATTGTTTAAATTTTCGAGCCGCATTCACCTTTCTGTAGAAAAGGCAGTTCTATTCCCTCTATTCCAATGTTGCCGTTTTAGCCTTTGGCGGCTAGATTTGGCTACAACTTACTAGTCTAAGATCCAACACAGAGACGACCATCATCCATCTGTTTAATAGATGAAATCTTTTTTCTATGAAATTTAACGTGTTGGTAGATATTTTGCGAGTGGGTTGGCTGAAAAAATACTGGCAGGATGTTTTTATTTAAATATTCAAAAATTATTATTTTTTTTTAATTCTATAATCATTTGTTTAATGAATGAATTATATACCAATCGCAAGTACTAAGCCTATAAAACGTCCAATCTATTTTTTTTCCGGCCTGCCTATTGGGTTGGCAGGTATTAACAGGTAAGTAATATTAGTAATTTTCACTCCAAAGTAGATTTCATCCGATAAACAGACGGGTGAAGGTCTGCCTTTGTCGAATCTCCTACAAAACCGATATAAATTTCAAATTGCCACTAGCCCTTTGGAAAACTTTTTCATCATTAACACGAAAAAATTTTATATGACTTTCATAAATTTCATATATGTAATGACGTTTTATTTTCTCGAAATAATTTCGCATTTCTTCTGCCCTGAGATAGGGCTGTCAAATTTGGGTGTTTTTTTTTCTCAACAAAATTTTACATGTTTCTGCCCTTGCGAGTGTTGCCCAGCAGTTTTGTATTCATATTTTTCAATAATTATACTTATGTTGTAATGAAGTTAGTTGTATAATTTTATTAAAATTAATAAGTTAGTGCAAGCATGAATTTTCAAGTTGGCCTTTTTTTTGTTCCTTTACATTTACATAATGTTGCCATCATATATTGAGGCAACATTTTATTTGGGAAAAGAAAAACTAGAAAAAAAAAAATAGCTAAAGTTTTTAGCCACACCGATTTTTTAAGCAATTTTTAGCTCGTTTTTAAGATGATTTTGGTTACTACTAAAGATGATTCGCGGCAACACTGCTTGGTATGCAGACGCGCGTCATACCCGTTGCTTCTGCGCGGTTGGCAATAACCAACAATCTCTTCCGCAGCGGTAAGAAGTGATTGGGAAATGGAATCCCGCTGCTCAACGCACTAAATTTCGCAACGTAAAAATAAAAAAATAACAGGAGAGTCACACATGAATTATATGCATATTTGGCTAGAAAACATGTACCGTGGTCCTTTCATTTTTGCATATACATAATCTAAACAATATATGTAATCTGATGTTTGTTGCTAAACCAGCAAAAAATATAAGTGTTCGAATAAAAACTGTCGAGTCATGCGAAAGTTCGAACTAATTGAGAATTGCCCATATACATATTTATATGATTCAAATGCATTTTGTCTTGTAAATAAAATCAGATGATAAGTCATCGGGTTTCCATCGCCGTTCCAATCGACGTGTCAATTATCCGTGACTGCTCGTCGTTCTGCAATGAACAGTATTGCCTAGTAAAATACATACATATAATCAAATTTTATTTTACACCGTTGTTTTCAGTGACGAAAAAAGTCCATTTATTAATTGACATTTGTTTTTTAAGAGTTAAGTAGCAAACCATATTTTTAGCTCTTTGCTCCGCCCCGAAGTCTTGCTATCTTGTCATAGCCTTGGATTTTGCTTCGCATGATGAAACTACTACCAAAGAACATTTATAAATTTATTTATTATATTATTTATAATTTTATTAATTTTTATATTATATAATTTATTTATAATAATATATTTATTATTTATAAGTTTATTTATAAACGTTCTCTGCTTTTGCGACCGCTTCTTTAACCACACTGCTAAAAGTATGTTACGCACAGCTTATAACTGCGTAAAACGGTAGGTGCTCGCCTTCAGAAAAGAAATCATGGTTACTTACTGAAACGTTGCATGTTTTATGGCGCAACGTGGTGGAAATTGTGAATATAAATGGAAGAAATTGGAATTTCCTTTAATAAAATTCAATTTCCTTTCACTTTTTAGCAACCCCTCTTCTATTTCCGCAGTAGTATTTTAGCAAATCACCGGTTTAGTCGCGTCGTGCCTCGTAAATGTATACAAATTGTGCTTAAAATTAGTGCAAAAAGTGAATATGTTAATTAGTTAGTGTGGTGTATCTATTATATTATTCTATGTATGTTTGTATTTATGTAAAAATATGCGCAAGTGCAATTATCGATTGTGATATATTAAATGAGAGTGCAAGTGTTCGTAGCGTTTTGCCGTCCACTTAAATTTCTCAAGATGGCCGCTTTCCATAGAAGAAAAAGTGTGTTATGCAGTAAAATGCGTGAAAACGGGTGATCTAATAAATTTGATGAAGTTGTCATATTGCTTGTGCATTTTGTAAACGTGAGAAGTTGGTTTGCTGCTGCTTTGTTTTGCAGATTTGTGTTAATGTTTAGTAGAAAAATAAAAAAAAATTAAATTAAATTAAATTAAAGTAAATAAAATAAAATATAATAAAATAAAATACAATAAAATAAAATAAAATAAAATAAAATAAA